TAATAAACATTTAAGGCTCGTTCAGGTCTAGATTTGTTCATCATCACGAGGGTTACATTTTACGAGAATTTCAAAACTTTGCGTTTAAATCTCGACGAACAGAGAGCGAGTGAAAAAACCTTTTCCGGTGGTTTGTATTTTTTTTCTACTAAATTAATAAACCGATCTTAATTTTCCACATCTCATTTTGTAGGTATTTCGAATATCTACATTTTTCATACGGAACTTCTTTCCATACAATCGACAGCTTTCGTTTTATAAGCGAAAAACCTGGTTTTTGCAACTATTCGAATTTTTTTCGCATATTTCCCACACGAGTTGCGAGTCTCAAACGTATACATTCCTTTTCTGATGGTCTTCCGAACATTTCTGTCGAGAGAGATGCCTGTTTACAATTTTTCCGCGAAAAAACCCTTTCTACTGGACTATAAGGATGGACTAATTCTACTGGACTATAAGGATTACTGTGAGTTTTGGGCACTCACTCTGTCCTATCTTCTTGCACACACATAAATAGTTTTGCGCATGCTATGTTGAAATTATCTGCACAAAAAATGTAATAATGACATATAATCATATAGTATATAACATATTATATAAATAATACATAAAATATATAATATTATATATTTGCTGCATAAATATAAGCAACTATCTTGCAGCTTTATTTTAAACAAGCTTCTAAAGCTTGTCTATACTTACAGGATACATTGATGAGCCAAGCGGGCTTTGTTTTCCAATCGATGAATATACAGTACACGGGAATGCCAGATAGGATTATGATTATGCCTATACCTACTTCCCATGGCGAAACATAACACGGAAAGGTGACCAAAAATGCGCAGATTATGAAGAAAATGATTGGCAAAATGATAGAAACCTAGAGGATAAAATATACGAAATGAAATTTGCGATCAAATAAAAAAAAAAGGAAGATGCATAGATATATATATTTTCTAAAAATTAAATGTAACAAAATTGCTAGTACCTTTATCGGACGATGGAGATCGGGCTTTTTGTAACGTAACCACAATAAACCAGACACGGACAGTGTGGTAAATAGAGCCTCAACGAAGCTGACATAATTTATTAGTACGTAGACATCCTCTATGATGAGGAGTATCAGGGTGATAATGCACTAGAAACGGAAATTATAGTTTAACGCTCGGAATTGGAGTCCGACTACAAGAATAGAAAAATTGCTCCGCGTGCGTATCAGCGCTTTTAGAACTGATTGTGAATCGCGATAATTAAAACGCTTTAAAACACTTGGTTCCAGATTTAGATCAAAATCTAAAATTGGCATTTCGTTCAAAGAAAAAAAAAATTTTTTTTTAAATAACTGAAGTAGATTTTAAGATGTAGAATTTACGGAAATCTAGATTATCTGAATCTCTTGTATTTCGAAAGCTATCGTTAAAAAATTAAAAAGATGATTTTGGTATCTCAAAACTAATTATAATCTGTATTAAATATCGTGCAATTAATTCTATCGAGGTATATCTTATACTTTATAGTTAACATGTTCGCATTATTCGTGACAGTGTGGGATGACTTTAAGCGCGATTAACGAAATCGATTCTTTTAATTCGTTCGTAGAAAGGAATAGAGATCGCGAGCAAACTTCCGCCATTAATCGTCAAAGAGACACGGGGCCAGCGAGCGACGTGAAAGGATCAATTTATCGCTCTCAATTAACGAACCGCAAATCAAAATGTCGAGCTGCATAATAGCATGCCGCTGTGTGTGTCTGCCGGCCTGCTCTGATCCGGCTGGCTTCGTTTATTTCATTAAGACGCCGGCTTTAATGTAATTTCACGGGATCCGATTTATGCACGTCAATTAATTCTATTCCCGACAATTGGACGAGCCGAATTATCGCACACAAAGTGCAGATTACTTCGATGCTGGATATAATAAAGCTGAAAATGTATTGATTATCTTCTTCGTGAATAATTGCGTTAGATGTGGTATTTTCTCTTAAGCAAAATATCGATCTAAATATGCAATACATACGCGCATAAAAACGTATCATGTTTTTTCTTTTAATACTCATATTAAAGAGTCTAAAATATTTCCGAAAGATGAATACTGCAGCCAAAAATTGCTATAAAGTATAGTTAACAATTAATAGCACAATTTTTCTAATATAGTCAAAATATTTGGATTTGGTATCATCGTATAAATGAATAAATGTGATATTAATTGAAATTAGAACAAACAAATTTCATGATAAATGCAATATCGTTGTAATTTAAGCCTGATATGTCAATTACTGAAGTGTTCATGATCGTTATAGCTACATGAATCATTGTCACATCCCGTTATCACCAAACAAACGCCACTGTACAAACATACACGCCGTTCTATATGATGATAACGTACTTACTAATAAAACAAAAATTCTTTAAAAATTATTCAGTCATCTTTAATGATTAAAATGATACAACAAATAAATATGTTCACTATTAAGATGTCATTTTTCAAAATAAGCGACTTGCAATTAATTGTCGTAAAACTGAATAAGTGTTCGCAATATTTATTTATTTTATTCGAGTTCTGTTCGCGAAAATTAAAATACAATAGATCAGAAGATATTATAAATTGAAATGTCTAAAAAAAAGCTTTATTTTCAAATGTCTTGATTTTTTAAATATTCTGATCAAAAATCCTGAAAATTGACAAATAGAAATTAATTTTACTGTTTATAATATAAAGAATATTAAATTAATTCTATTATATAAAATTAATTATTTGTACTTCAAAATTTTTTATTTTATATATAATCAAATAAATTAATTTAACAACAAAATTAATTAGTTCATAATTAATTCTATATAATAAATTATTTTTATTCACTGTTTTCTCTTTACTTTTTATGAGGGTATGATACTTACGAGGAAGATGAGGGATGGCATCGGCGTCAAGTTGCGAACATTAATTAAAGCAATGGCAGTAGGAAGGTGTCCGTTTCGGGCACCGACAAAGAACAACCTGGACGACGCAAAGATCGCGCCGTTCAATGCTCCGAAAGTCGAACATGCCACGAAAAACGGCATGATCCATGACATAACGCCTAGTAGTTTATCGCCGAAGGTCTAGAAAGGAAATTCTGTTTTAATACTAAGTTAGCAAAAGTGGAATAGATCTTGATCACAGCAGAAAGCAATTGCGGGTTTGCATAATTTTGTTCTGTACCGAATAGATTGAATAAATCGGTATATTTTACTTCTCGCGATATCGTATAATCTGTTGATTTTTTAATCGAGTATCTTGCTGATGAAACGCAGTAACGCACGTGCAAGAGATCATATACAGAAAGAATGATTGTGCTGAAAAGTCTAAAATTTTGCTGGATATCTAATCAAAATAATTATGTTGAAAACTAAAAAATAATAAACAATACTACAAAAAAGTTTAATATTTTAGTAATCAGTTCCAATTTTCAATAAAATTATTATGACAGTTCAACAAAATTATTTTGCAGTTATTATTCAAGAATATAGAAGGGCAAATTAGAGTCAAATTCTAATATCGATAAGTAATAAACGTTTAAAGTTTTGACATTCTGATAAATTGATATGAAATATAAATTTAATTTAAAAAACTTAATATTATATTACACATGACATGTTTTGGCATCAACTGATGTTAAGTTTTTTAAATTAAATTTATATTTCAATTTATCAGAATGTTAAAACTTTAAATGTTTATTACACATATCGATATTCGAATTTGACTCTAATTTGCCGTTCTATATTCTTGATATTTTTGTTATTTAAAAGAGTCTTTTAATTTAATTGTTTAAATCAGTTCTTATTCAATAAAATTTTAGATCTTTCAGCAAAATCATTCTTTTAACACATTTTGAATGTTCAACACATTCCTCTTCCTTTACTACTCAATATATAAAATATTGCTATAATCAATTTAATACAAACAAGTTATTATGTGAACTAAAGTTCATCAATTTCTTTTCGTTCCTAAAAATTATTTTTTTAAATTTATATTATGTTTATACATTAAAGAATCAAAGAATTGCTTTCTTGGTAATAAAATATTCGTGCGAGTGCAATCAATCATGGATTAATATTTCATGTATTTATAATTGTTATCAACATTATTAACATGTAAAAGCGTACTTACAACAGCGACAGCGTTCGACGCGAGTATTTCATCCTGCGTGAGTACGACAAAGTAGGCAATGTTCGCGAAAACATAAATCACTGTCACCAACGGCAGTGATATACAAATCGCCTTCGGAAGATTTCTGTGTAAATGAAAAAAACAACGATCACATGAAAGTTTCTACAAGTCTCTGTTGAAATTTTACGTACGTTATTGTCTTCGTAAATATAAACGTACTTCGATAATATGATAATACTAATATTTTATTCGTATCTATTTCTAATAAAACATAAGACCAAATTTTAAGAATTGATAATTAAATATTAATTTTATATAAATTAATAGCGTATTATTTTCTATCACACATACAAAAATAAGTAAATAATATAATTTGACCTGTACACTGAAATATTAAATTTTAATAAATCATTTGTTTGAATAATGCCTACTAAATATTTACTAAATACAAAGATATATTTATTTGGTACAAGAATCACTAATTAGATTTAACTATCATTTTCTTTATTAAGTAAATATTTATTTACTGTAATTAAATGTTTAATTGACACTATTTAAACAAATATTTATTAACATTTAGAATATTTTTTCTCAGTGTATTAAGCTGCTTTTTTATTATAAATTAAAAGAATTGCAATAAAGATACAAAAAGATCATGGAGAGTTTAATGCCAATTGCATTTACGACAATTACTTGTAGGGATCTTTTAGCTCCTCCGTCACGAAGTTGAGATAATTCCAGCCTGAATAAGAGAACAGTCCGGAATATACTGCCAGAGCGATGTAACCGGGTTGAGTATTAGTGCCAGACATCGGATGTTGGAAGTTCTCTGTGTGGCCCATGCAGAGCCACCAGACACCGGCTGCCATGATGATTACTAAAGCGAAGATTTTGGTGCCAGTAAAGATGTCCTGCACTCTGGTCGCCCACTTAACATTATAGCAGTTAATGACGGTTAACAGACCTACAAACAGAATAGTGAAATTGCCATATGCTCGTCGTACACATATCGCGGATATTAAAACAATCCGACGAGAATATGAATAATGTTTTTTCGGGCTATATTGGATTACATCTCATGTTACATCTCATTGCATACATAGTCAAGATATTTTTGATATTGATCATGCGATATTTATAATGACGATGTGAACGTCTGAAAGAGATATCGAACAGCTAACAAAAAGTAGAAGGAAAAGTTGACAGAAATTTAATCAATTGTATTGAAAAACCTACAATCAACTGAAAGGTTTTAAAAGTTATTTCTGCGAGGAGTGTTCTTTTTTAAATTATAATTTAAATTTGATACATTTAAATTATAATTTAAATTTGATACATTTAAATTATAATTTAAATTTGATACATTTAAATTATAATTTAAATTTGGTACAATAATTATAAAAAAATAAAAGGAACATAGCAATGCGAGTTACTATCTTTTAATATAGTGCATGGGTTTTCAATACATTACCGCCATCGTTCCAGCAATTTTATATTTTTCGAAAAGATTTTTTTCTCGTGGAATACGAAAGCTACCGGAACGATGACATTAATGTATTAAAAATCTCAAAAAACTATATTGAGATAATACGACTTACAGTGTTATAGTTTTTTTTATTTTTTGTATAATTATTAAATTATAATTTAAATTTGAACATTTATCGTATTTTATTAGATCATACTATACATTTCCTTTTTTCTATAAATTATCAAAATAAAATGAAAAAATTCATTCATTTTACATGTGATCACAGCAGCGAGTAGTCGAATCGCTGCATACGGCGGCTCGCATCCAGGCCATACAGGTTGCAGTATGTATTGTGCGAACGTGAGGGCCGTGATTGCGTTCCCCGTTGGCACCAAGATGAACAAGGCGACCCAAAGGTAGAGGAACGCTGGCAAAGATCCGAAAGCATCGCTAATGTATGCATAATCGCCGCCTGATTTGGGGATCATCGTACCTGTATAAAATTGAAAAGATGTAATTTTGTTATTAATTTAATAAACTCCTCTTAATAAGAAGAAAATCATGGAAAATCTGATAGAAAAATTTCGAGCGACCAATTAGACTAATTATTACATAGGTATATTATATGTATATATCTTAGGCCCGTTGGTCGCATCAATGTTACTTTAACTTTAAGCAAGACTTAAAACTCTCTCTGTCTCGTTTTAAAGCAAAAGAGAGACAGAGACAGAGAGAGTTTTAAGCTTTGCTTAAAGTCGAAGTAACGTTGGTGCAATTGGGCCTTTGAAAATCCTAGAGTCATATTTGTTTCAGGATTGCCAGATGTAAGCGACCTGAAAGATATAGCTTACAATAGACCTGTTGTTTTTAGCCGAACTTCTTGCAGAATTTGTCTTTTTTTTTGTTTCTTTTCAATGTGAAGAGGAAAAGAGGAAAGATGAACCGCAAGAAGTTCAAGAGTATGAAGTTTATGCTCTTATTTTTTGAGAAAATTATAATTTTTTAAATTATTTCAAATTGCTTTAACTTAATTATACCACATTGTTCCAAAATGATATTGCTTTATTCCAAACGGTTCTCTAATAAGATAAAAAAAAAACCATTTTTATAGCTAGACCTTTTTTAAAAAATCAAACAATTTTTTATCTCTATAGATTGTTCTAGTCGTTCCAAACATTGTTTCAAAAGGATAATTCCATAAATTAAACTAGAAACCTGGCGAAAGAAAAAAATATATTTTTCGACAAACCGACTCTCAGAGAAAACATACACTTTCTTTCATGTTTCGAGAACTTTTTATTCTAAGTTGTTCTAGACCTACAAAACAAATTCTACAATATGAATCTCTATATCGCTATATCGGCTCTTTCAAAAATAAAAAATTTATTTTTTACAGCCACCATCAAGAACGTAGAGGAAAATCGCCGATACTGACATAGGCGAGGGGATAATCACTTAATGTAATCGTGGGACAGAGTCCTCGAAATAATTATAAAATTCATACAAAATCTCTATGTATAATCCGATAATTACATATGCAACCACGATAAATCATTGTATAATATTAAATAAATTCGTATATTTTATAAGGGGGTGTCACTTTAGAAGAACTATGTCCGAGGGGATAACCATTAGCTGAAATATTGTCCCACAGATTACATGACATCATATGATTTCATCTGATTACAAAATAATTTTTTTCACTACATATGAAGTCATTTGAACTTCATATGTAGTGAAAAATGTAGTGAAAAAAATTATTTTGTAATCAGATGAAATCATATGATGTCATGTAATCTGTGGGACAATATTTCAGCTAGTGGTTATCCCCTCGGACATAGGTCTTCTAAAGTGACACCCCCTTATTTTTCGGAAACTAACTATTGCACTTTATTAATAGTAATAAAATCATGATCTGTTTAACTAATTAAAAAAGTACAAACATAATTCGTAAGTTTGTGGCTTGTTTCTATATCAAATCAGCTAAAAACGAATTCTACAAATGCGAAAAAAAAATTCTTACGATTTCTTTTGCAAATTGTGAGGTTTAAATAATAGTGACTATATTATTGATAATATTACGTCATTTTAAATACTTGTAGTTTCCGAAATAAGTTTTATTTATATTATTTTTCCTCTTAGTCTATTCATAATACGATTTTTAATTTAAAATTGGGGTGCAGCGTAAACCGACACACCTGTCCGTAAAACAGACCATGAGCTAACTTAATCTTTATGATGTTGCTTTATAGCGTCAAATAAGTCTATTGGAGCTGAAGGCAATCGTGCATATATGGAACAACTCTAGAAAAACTATCGCGTTACATATTTGCATCTTGCAGAACAGCATAAAGTAAGTATGCATATAATTCAATAAAAATGTTTTATAACGAAGTAAAATGATTCTGAAAAATCTTATATATACATTCACTTATAGGTACTTTATACAGATAATTCCTGTAAAAAAAAAGTATAGGAATACGTACGTATTCCTATTCTTCGTATACAGTAGACAGTAATGCTACGTAGCATTACTGTCTACTGTGTCAGTTTTGGAGCCCATTTTGTCAGACGCTCATTTTTGCATAACTTACGAAAAACTTAATTATTGCAAAATTGCAAACAGTATTATAAAAATTGCTTATACTATCTGATAGAAAACACTTTTTACTTTGTATTTATGTTTTTGAAGTTGTATTTTTACCTTTTGTTTAAGAAATATTGTCTAAAAACAAAGTGGTATGTCGATATCGGTGACCTTCCTCTACACTTCCTTTCGTATTCCAATTAAGAACTTTTTTTTTATTCTGAGTTGTTTCCACAAAACATAAAGGCTGTTTTTTTATTGCTGTACTTTCTAAACTGATACACACAGAGCAATAAGTTGAAGTTAAACAATTATACGTTTGTTTCACTTCAACTTATTGCACCGGTTCAAAGTGCAGCAATAAAAAATAGACCTATAGTTTCTAACAAAGTTAGGCTCACTCGTCTTGGCGCGCGTCTGTGCGACTACAGGCGCAGGCGTCCAGTGTTTGGGGGGACATTTTTGAGACTATTGTGTAATTATTCTCGCTGTTTGAAATACATTTTTGAATCAATTCATCATATTGGTTTAATTGCTGGTCGAAATCATCATTATTCACTCGATAAATGTCAAAAAAAGGAGGAGGTGATAAAATAAATTTTCAAATTTAAGGGAAATTCACCAAGGGTATTTCTTGTCTCTTCCGAAGTAAAACTTAACTTTTATTTCAAATGACAGAAAACGAAAAACTGGGTAAAAGGCAAAAATAAAAAGTAATAAAAAACAAGAAATAGGAAACAAAGAGTATATTGTAGATTATCCGTAATCGAGATTACGGATTATGGAGTAAAATAGATTAAAATTTTTGTGGTATATTTTAAATCCATTGAATCCAATTGAATTAATGTTCGAAAATATCAATACGCAGTGATTAGGGCTGCATTTGGCGCTCACATGCTGTAAGTTTTATTCTATCTTCTTTTTATGAGTAATGAGTAATAAAGATAGAATTAGTGTTGCGAGGGAGGCAAAGAATCGGAAAAGAACAAGAACGAAAAACGTATCTTCCCATGTTTTGAGAGAAATAACTCATAGCTACCGTATTTTCTTTACATACAGTTAAGATAACGCATATCAGTTATCTTAACTGTTTAATCTATAGTATCTATAATACTTATATCTATGGCCTATGATGTAACATATCTTCAAGTGTTAACTACTAAAATTTTATTTTTAATTTCTCGTTTATTTTATATTGCTTTTTGTTCCACACAAAGTTGATGTATGTATGTACATATTATGTTAAGAGATAGTTTTTTATAATTTTATTTAATATAGCAACTTGCTTTTTTAACTTAATCTAATTAATTTATATTGTAAAAGCATATACTGGATTTTCCAACAACGTACACAGGTGACACAGTGTAACACTGTGTCTTACATAAAGTGTTCCAACTATGACACAGTGTTACACTGCTCAACATTGTAAAAAGCTAAGTAGTAAGCGTGTAAAATACGTCCATGTTACCAACTTTTCAAAAAGTTAGTGTGCCTCCTTTTTATTGTAAGATGTTACATTTTGTACTTTTTAACATTCTATTCAAGAAATTAATATCAGATGCCATCTTCCAAGATTAAGGTATACATTTATTTTGTGTGTGCTAAGGATTTGATATTTTTATAATTACTTACATTAAAAAAAACTGTTTTTTCCCAGTTCCAGGTTCTTTCCCCGGAAAAATTTCGGGAAAGATAGGCTCTTTCCCAACGATTTAAATTTCCCGGGAAATTAACAACACTAGATAGAATGAACGCGTAAGCGTCAATTTCAAACGCAGCTTATATCTCTGGCATAAATTAATACACAGTGATATATTAATACGCAGTGATACATCTCTGGCATAAATATGTCTTGATTCGTTTTGTCTGTTGTCGAGTATTCGTACCGAATGATACTCGAACAATAGAGACAAAAGATCGGAATGTATGTATTTATGTCAGAGATATATCATTGCGTATTAATTTAATATTTGCATAGATACTTTCGAAATTGAATTTACGCTATATTGAATTAAAAAAACTTTTTTCAATTAGATTCAACTGAATTAAAAAACTGCATTTTCTATTCAAAATTTTCAATTGAGCAGTATTCACAATGCACAGAAAAAGCAGATATCATTTTTAGATCGAAAGACATAGAAATATGTTTCATGCAATTCGTATAAATGAATAAAAATGCATTCGGATTGAATAGGATTTTAACGTTTTAAATAATATATTTTGAGCAATATTATTAAATTCGTGATTTTTTATTATATAAATATACTTTATGAATAAGTATGTATACTTAGGGTGGTTGTTATTTTTACAATTTTTGAAATTTAACCGGGACACGCCATAAAGTGATTCAATATCTCAAAAAAATAACACCAGATTTTTTCAGATTTTTGGAACACAATTTTAACTCGTGCCACGAGGGCACGGGTAGGCGAAAAACACTTTTGTAGATGAAATTCAGCCGACGCTCTAATTCTTAACCAATTTTAGAGTTTATTTTTAATTTGCTCGAAATTTAATAAGATATAAGCCCATTTTGCGTAAATTTTGATTACGGTCCAAAGTAAAAATTTTTGATCCAATGAAGTGAGTAGAAAAAAATCAAAATTATACGATAACGAATATCGGTAATTTTTTACTTGAACCGTAATCAAAATTTATGCAAAATAGGTTTATAGCTTATTCAATTTCGAGCAAATTAAAAAAAACTTTAAAATTGGTTAAAAATTAGAGCGTCGGACGAATTTTGTCCACAAAGGTGTTTTTCCGTCTACCTGTGCCTCGGTGGCACGGGTTAAAATTGTTTAAAAAATCTAAAAAATCTAGTGTTATTTTTTTGAGATATTGAACCACTTTAGATGGTGTCCCGATTAAATGTCAAGAATTATTAAAATAACAACCATCCCTAA